GAGTACATGGCTCAACCCTGAAGATCAACAATGCCTCAATCTTTTTCTTGGTTGACCTCTATAACTTTTCCACTACGTTTTTGTGGCTCAAAAATAGAAAATGGAGTGGTTTAATGAGAAAAAAAAAGAAAAATTCCACCAGTAGGTGTCAAAAAGAATTATAAAAATCCAACAAAATTCCTACTAAAATGCCTTCAAATTGAGAACATTTCCTCCCTAATTGCAAAATGACCCACAGGGGATTATCGTGAACAGCCCAAACATCGACAAACCTCCTCATCCGCTCCCGTTATTACACCTTCTAAGACACAGAGGTGGCGGTCAGCACATAAACAATAATTGATTTACGACTGACACGAAAATTAGTTAATAAATAGGCTGTTAAAAAGTCGGCCAAAGTAAATTTCTCGAGGAAACACTTCAGCTAGAAACTCGAACTGGGCAATTTATCACGTAGACGTCAACAGAGATAAACAGCACACATTAATCCTTCACTCCAAAGAACTTACCCGCACAACTTTGTCAGCAATAGATTTGAGCCCTGATATAAATTGCTCACGCATCCGTGCAATGCCGACTCATTGATGAACACTCCTGGAACTAATCAGCTATTCTAAGAGCCTTCAGAGAAGAGTCTATGGGTGCTTTTTTTTGCCCTCCCTCACTCCCACCCTCGACCCGAACGGGAATTGAGCATGTTTATTTTCATTCAACAGGATTAGCTGAAACTCTTAGCGGGTTTGCGCTTGAATACACAAGCATAAGCGGCACTTTCTACGACTGATTCCCCGACTAATTAACTTGGTCCCACACGGAATTGACCAACCTTTTGCTGCAGAACACAATGACGGTGAATACAGTAGGGAATTCAATCCAGCTGTTGAAAAATGAACAGACGTTTCAGAGATACACTTGACAGCTACCGATACCCTCACTCCTACATCCACATGGGCTACAGCTACCGTATCCGCCAGTAAACTATGACCAATTACAGACAGTGTAATGTTCCTGGTGGGTGACAGTAGTATCACCGGGGAACCTTTGAGTTCATTGAATATCAGATCAAAAGTGATAGTGGAGACGATCAGGGGGAGAGACAGTGGCAGCACCGCCATCCGCCATAAAACACGGCCGCGAATGTGCGCCGCCGGCGTCCGCACTACGCTGCTGCCGCCGCTGGCTGGATGGCTGCTGCTGCTGGCTGACGTTGGCGCTACACTCACATACAAGACACGCATACACACCCGCACCCAGGGAGCTTCCCGAGCACGACATAGCAATGATGAAGGAGGAACACACAACGACGGCAGTCATTTGTTCAATCATTTATTCATCTCTTAACACGGGAAACAACAACTGTCACCCCGGCACGGGTAGCACAGGTGCAACAATCAGAAACGATAGCCAATTGGCCATATTTAGTACATGGACAATAGCAAATATTAACAAACGACCACTGATGAGGCACTGGTGATCCAGATCAGTACTTCTTCAAACTTTTCTGTTCATCCACTACGACATTCGGCAAGTTGAAGTCCTGAAACGAACGGATTCCATGAATACCATCAACCATCAAAGAGGACAGCCGGAACGCATTACATGCGAAAACAAATCACCCCATTAAGTCGAGCGGATGAGCTCTTGAAGAATGATTGGGAAAAACGCCTAATGTTATCGTTCCACATCACTTACAACTCACTTTTGTGTTCATCGCTTAGCTTATTGATTAAATTCCTAACTCCAAAACTCTTTGATGGGCACCCTGACGGGGACACTAGTTGGACCAGAACAAGAGCCATAGCTGTTCTTACAACGTAGGAACAATCTTAGCTTTTTTCTTTTACACCAGGGTACAAACTCCGCTGAAAACCAACAACAATGCAACAATTTTGGCAGTTTTTCGTTGATTTCAGCAGAGCTGAACCAAATCAAAAGGGTCCCTTACCGGCTTTCGAGACAGGAAAGACAAATATTTCTTTACGGTAACTTTCCAAAAGACAACAGAACTCTAGTAAAGCCCTGACTTCATTAAGCCTTTTGTTGTGATATTCAATTACATGAAATTGATACTTTGTTGAAAACAAAAGGAAAGGCACTTCTAGAAAAGACCTCTAGAATCTTAGCTTTCCCAAAAAAAAAAAACAATCAGAATCACCGTCACCTCGAAATTAAGTAAAGCACAATTCCGAACAACATTTCATCCGCAAAAACACCTAGCTAGGATTCACCAGAACACCCTGCTGGGCGATGCCGATGTATGAACTTTACCTGGGTCCTCAATAGTCATTCAATGAGGACTGGAAAACAGGTGACACGGATGCTACTCAACATGTCCCATTCAAAGGTTCAGAAACTAGAAAAAGAAAGAAAAAAGGAAAATCTTGCGAATCACATCACAACATACTCGAGGGCTGTTCTTAGGGACACCTGTGTCACATTTCCAGCATTTCTTCATTCACCCATTACACTTGAACATCACTTTTGCCATTTCTTTTCCGTCGTTTCAACGTAGTTATTAGCCGTAGCCACTAATATTACCAATAAATTAGTTGTAAGGGAAAACAATGTGAAGAGTCAAGACAACTCCTAGCCCATTAAAAACTAGTGTTGGGTTCAAGGCCCAGGAAACCTAAAACAATACTCCTGCACCCACATAATCTTCAAAACAGGAAAGATCAATCTGGGGAGCGCCCAAATGGTAAAAGAGCTGACGTGCAACAGAAATCATCAAAGATCACCACCCATTTTTTGTAAACTCAGAGCTTACGACTTCGTCGACCTCTTTATGACGTACTAGCTCTCTCCGTTTCCCCCATTACAGTACTACATCGATGATTCCGTTCTTATTGGAACCTTCACAACTGCACAAACACTAAATGTTTTTGACATCCACAAAGCTTGACGCCCAAGATCTTCACACCAAGACCAATTTGCGCAAGATCTGTCATAAAACAGACTTCTTCTACTTTGACAAACCCCGTGCTGGTTACAAAGCGGCACAAGGTATTTTTGTTTCAAATATTTTAGGAGCCTCATATCACAGCTAGTTCGGAGATGTTGGTTTAAAGGCCGTCTGCAGTAAATCTTAAATCAACGACAAGATGAAACATCATATCATCGACTATTACCGGTGACTTCAGCGATAAGATCAGTTCCGGGGAACACGAAGCACCTGACTTTTGCAAGAACAGAAAGGGGTTCCGCAAGAGGAGCGAACAATGTGCGACTACGCAACGGTGACTAAAATCCTATGAATAACACCCTAGAGATGAAATTCTGCATACAAAACCACGCATAATATCATTTGACACACCTCAGCCGATCTTAACCGACAATGCAAAGAGCCAGGAAGAAGCCATTATAACATGCTAGCTGAACTCCTCATAACACGAGCGACCCATTTAGTTACCCATTTAAAGAGTTTTTGTCTGAATGCCTTTACTCCAGGGTGAGATGTTCAAGTGTTAAGTGGCCACCCGAACGCATGATCCAGGTACGTAATCCTGGATTGATATCACCCAGAACAACCTAGCTTCCATCTCTCCGGGATCGGAGAGATGGAAGCTTTGGTACAAGATACTTTATGGTACAAGACTCGTCTGGGAAGAAAACAGCACTGACGTCTATATCGGCTGCCATTGCAAGTCGTCGTATAGGCCATATATACATTCAAGCACAACAAATCTGAATGGGAGTCGAATGCGTGAGCACAATCCATAAACAGGATTGATCAACGCCTGAGACTATATACATTACCTTTTACGCTCGGAATTCCAATATTAGTCGAGAAGATTAGAATGGGTATAAAAAGTGCTGACAAAAGCAATCTATCCACCCATCTAATCGCCGTATGACTTTACCATAAAAAAGGAAATACACTTAACGAAGAATCATTACCGACAGCAGTAACTTCCCTTCGAGACCAATATTCCCATTCACTAGTCATATCAAGCAGTAATGGGAGGGAAAGCACAATTGAAGATTGTTCGTTCTTGCAGCTGGACTTGCTGCCAAGAGTTTTTCATGAGCACCATTCTGCAATTCCCATGTATTGCAGAATGTTCTATTCATTTGCATATAGATTAAAAAGTAAAACTATAGGAACACTTCCCGTACCGCCGAGAAGGGTTCCTATCACAAGGGCACACCGGATGTTGGGTCGAATAATACCGACAGCAGACGAGCCTTACATCACTTCCAAGGAGCCCATTTGAAAAGCAACCTAACATTAGGGATGGAAGTACCAGCTCAAACATACGCCGACCTTTACCTAACTAGGTAAAACATCTGCAAAGTTTCTTAATGGAAGACAAACGTGCACTGTATTCTTAAACCACTTCGGAGCCCATCAGTTTTTTCCCAACCATTCAGTGAACCGGGAAACAGCTCAAGGTCGATTTTTCACCGACAGCAGACTACGGAATAATTGGCTCTAAATCACTGGCATAGAAAACATCTCAAATGGGTATTTCTTCGTATAACATCCCACATCCTATTGCTACTGTGGAAGAATCACTCATCAAAGTAGTCCTACACCTACAGCGGTGCGGCTCGTTTTAAAGCCTTCAAAAAGAACTATTCGCCGCTGATAAACACTCAGGTAATATAGTATTTTGAGAAAAACAAGTATAATAGCAGTTATAAATTCGCAAACAGCATTATACTTTAACAGCTGTTCTACACCTACATAACGTTATTTTCACTTCCTCTATCATTAGCTTCTAGATTATAAGGGAAAGCCAGGAGTGGGGGAGCAATTGTAAGTAGTTCAGTCTCTGCGGATGGTTGAAAATCAAAGTTCCAGGCCTACACTCGTTTAAGCCGAACATGGTTTTCCCTCCATCGGTGGTTAGTCAATCGAAACCAGATTTTCGAGAGAATAAAAGCCTCATTTGAACATGAGGTGGCTCTCCCAAGTCATTGTAAAGGCCAAGTAAGCATTCAAACTCTGAATGGGAATCGAATGAGTCTGCGCACACAAAAAAAAAACTGATAAATCTCGATTCTCTAATTCTTTACGAAAAAAAAAACTGCGGATGGATTGAAGGTACAACAAATTTCTTATAATACCACATAATTACTTCTCGAGAGTCTTTTCTACTATGCTGTTTTCAAAGCGGATAAAACAGGGTTCACTGCTAACATTAAAAAGAAAGCTTACGTGAAAAAAGCCATTGCTTCGTTCATGGCGCAGGTTTACTATGCCACTTTTTTGTCCTGCCCGAGTCTCTTTCCTTGGAGTTGAGTTTAACTGACTTCTCCCGCATGAGTATATACTAGTGGATCACCATGTAAAACCAACTATACTACCACTGAATCGGAAATAAACAAATTTGGGAAAATTCTCCGAAGCAGTTTTTCACCCTTGCACAGAATAAACAAGTGTTTTTATCTCGATTAACATCATCTCTCTTGGAAGTTTATTAAACACACGTGCTCAAAGCGGCGGAGATTTCGAGCGATTGAGAGACTAAACAAAGATCCGTTGCCGGCCAAAATTGAAACACAAAATTGGCTCGACACTAAAACTCATGAACATGGTGATTACAGGGAGAGATTGAATAGTTTCTTCTACCCACCCTGCTTTTAGATCCAATCCTCACAATGAACACTGTTCGCTTCCCTACCTACAGATGAAGGAAATGAAAAATGCAGTAAGTATCGCAGTAAATCAATCGCCCCACTGAAAGACTAATGTGATCCATATATAACTTGTGGCGAAACTACTGTATGGAATGCTACAAATCCATTAGGATCCGACATATCAGTTTTTGAAAACCTCTAAGAGCCTGTTACACTACCCCTTCCACTTCGGTTCACATTATCATATCATGGTTTTCTCTAAGGATCCCTTCACTTAATGAGGTGGTAAGAAATCACTGAGAAGCAAACATACCATTGATTCCAGCATGTGCTTCGTGTCAGGGTCAACTTTGAGTTGGCCGATCACGGAGGCATCCACAGCGGAGATCTCCGGCATGTAGTTATCCCTCCTCTCACGTTCCTCCTCTTGGAGCTTGATGGAAATACCACGTACAGGTCCCTTTTCGATACGCTTCATCAAATGGGTGATGTATCTGTAAAAAATCAATCACTACCACAAAATTACAAGTGATTTCCCGGAGTTTTGGCCCCTTTACACTTGAAAACACTAATTTAATTTTTTGGAATCTATATCATATAATAATCAGGATATATAAAAGTTAGAACCATAACTATTCCCGGGCTAATCGGAAACTAATTGAAAGGTACGTAAAGACAATACATCCCGATTCTGAAAATACTGTCAACTTGTGGAGCTGCACAATGCAGGATAGTAAGCAAGTTCATAATAAAGGTAAAAAAGTACTGCTTCAAGTAAAAACACCTGAGCAAAGTAAACGAAAAATATCCAAAAGCTATCCACAATTTTCGTCTCCAATACTCAATGGCCAAAATCCCGGCATCATGTCAGCGTACGAAGCCGCATGCAGAATCACCCACGGACATAAACTGCTAAATTTACCTTTACCCCATCAAACGTCTCTGTTAAGTATCTTGCAATTGTGCTGGATGGTGATTTTCACTTTTATCGTTGGTTCTTTATCACCCCACGCGCAAAACCCCTTTTTGAATTATCGGCATTTCTTTCTTATAAGACTTATTAGGTTTTGGTATATCTGTGCGCCTAGGAAATGCACCTAAATGTGCCACGGTTGCATTCTTTTTTCTTCCTCAGGGAAAGGTGGGTACGGTGGTTCGCCTGGGGAAGAGGCGAAACGAGCCATCTTTAGTTTGTGTGGTTATTTTGTCCTTCCAATGCATTTGCTTATTGTAGTTTTTATGCTCCACTGATTTCAATTTATTATACTTAACTTATTGATCCAAGGAAAAAAAAAGAAACGGAAAACACCAATAAGAAACGATATAGATGAACAAATTATTATCCTTAGAAAATCAAGAGTGTCGCAGGAGAAATGACACTTACCCGGCAATTTTATTTCTTAATTGTTTGCTTCCAATGATGGCTACTTCATCGCAGATACGCTTATTCGTATGGAAATCATGGGTGATCTTG